TCACTTTTAAATTAATAAACAAAATGATTATGGTTTCAATGTAACGTAAATTTATGTTATGGTTTTGTATTGTACTCTTTGACACTCAACTATGGCTTAAAAAGTGTGTAAATAGTTTTTGATTCGCACAAAAAATTAATGTCAAATGTATTTGGCTCATATTTTTTACTAGTGGACCAAATTTTAACGAGAACAACCACACAAGCATCATCGCTTTCATGGTATCTCTGAAACTAGTTTAGGTGCAGACAAAATACTCTAATTTATCAGTAAAACAGTCGTACAATTTGCCATGAGTAGAGCCCTGATTTATTTGCAATTGCAAATTCTGTTTGCTAACACTTGCAACCATCTGAATCATACCTCTGTCCCTTGGTTTAAATTATATTCAGCATATTTTTGCATATTTGAAGAATATTGCGTAAATTTGTGTATTCAAAGAGATTATAAATTTGAAATATTTTTGTTTATTGAAAAAATAAAAATAAATTAGGAGGAAAAAACAAGAGCATAAAATTTGATTTGGATTTCAGTTAACTTGTCTGGAACAAAAGAAATATAAACAATCTGACACAATGGAATGCTCATGAATTAATCGGCATCATTTTTGAGGCTCCTATTTCCAAATCTTCTAGATGCAGTTTTTGCCTTTCCTGAAAAATGACTTTTTCTAAAGCTGTCGAGTTGTGAAAATATATCCCTCATTTGAATTTCAAAAATAGTCAGTTCAAGTACTCTTTTATTAGATTATCCAACAACGCAAATCTTCTTTGTTGGAATATTGGAGAATATGATAACAATATCCTTACAAGTGATTAAAACACTTAATAAGAACATAAAACAACCAACTGTCAAACATAAATGTGAATTTTTATTAAAATTTCAAATTTATTTATTTTTTAACTTTTTAAAATGTATAAAATGTTTATTTATATTTTATTTCATTATATTATTCTTTATTGTTATATTTAATTATTTTAATAATAAATAAATAAAGCTATTTATATTGTGACGTGATCAAACAAAAAGTATGACTTAAAAATTCATTACTTGTACATACTGATTTTTTAAAACATTTTTCTCCCCTGCCAAAAGAAATGTTTGTCATCAATAATAACAAAATGCATCTTAGAGATGTTAATTTTGCCAATGTAAGATCCCCCTTGTAAATTTAAAGCATGTCTGCCAAGTAAATAATATTAATATGACAATGAATATATTTATCTATCTAAAAAAAAGTTCCTATGCTCCCACACCTCTGCTGACGAAAAGTCTTTTTGAGGTACAAATGTTCATTGAACGATAAATGCCATAGTTTTACAGAAATTAACTTTGAAATGTAATTCATATCATGTACTTAATCAGTATTAATTATTTATTTTGTACATTTTAATCAATTTCTTTTGAACATACATAATTTTTCTTTGTATTTCCTTTCAAAATGAATATGTACTAGATCAAAAAGACAATATATGCTTAGGTTAAAAAAAGTTCATTGTTGTTCATTGTGTCTCTGACATTCATGCTGCGTATTTTAATATTTTTATTGCCAATTATAACGCATATTTGAGGGTTTTTATTGCATATAAATCATCTATTGCCATGAGTGTACATAGGCTTTATTCCAAAAGGCAAAACATTAAGAATTTTCCATACCCCCATGTATGTAGAAGTGAGGCTCTATAAACTAGTTTTGTGAATAAAAACAGCTAAACATTTTCCCCCCTTTTTTGGAGGGGGGCAAGAGAACTTGATATTGATATATTTCATTTGTGCCTGCACAGAAAAAGATGAAAAATCGCCTCATGATGATTCGGGTCTTAAAGCCAACAGCGAGGTAAATCAGGATGACAGCGCCAGTGATGATAGTCTTAGTGAGAGAAGTCTTTCAGATTTTGATGATGTATGTAAATATATCTGAATATATCCGTACGTTGTATAAAAATTATGCCTGAACTACCATATTTTTACTTGCAGGTTTTTCTTGAATCAAAACCTATCCTGATGACCAATAGTTCAAATGTAATGTCTACAAACATCAAAAAAGAAGACTTCATCGGTTCATCCGTTATGCTAACAAACAGTAAAAATAAATCAAAGCGAGTAAGAGAAAAAGACCATTGCTATTATTGTGAAAATTTAGTGCTAAATTTTGCGCGACATCTTCAAAGAAAGCACCAAACTGAGACTGAAGTTGTGAAAATTTTTTCGCTTCCAGCAAACAGCAAGGAGCGGAAAGAATTGATTACGTCTTTACGCAAAAAAGGTAATTTTTATCAATATCGTGAAGCGGCGAAACCTATGCGGAAAGTGAAAAATACGACTGAATACTTACCGTGTACCAATTGTATGGGAATGTACTCACGGAAATTTTTATGGAAACACAAAAAAATATGCTCGGAAAATTCCTTAAATCGAAATATTCAAAGTATGTCCCAAACCTTTTTATGCACTTTAGATAACATAGACGAAGAGTTAAAAATGTCTGTTTTTCCAACAATGAGGCCAGATCAAATATCACTGATTGCTAAGAAGGATTATTTAATTTGTTTATTTGGTGCAAGATATATGAAAAATCACAGAGAAAAACATTTCATAAATGTTGCTAGTCGAAAAATGAGAGAATTAGCTAGACTTTTAATTGAAATGAAAGAAAGACAGCCAGATATACCTAATCTGTTTGAGGCACTCCAACCTCAATATTATGATACAATTGTTGAATCGGTGAAGCAAATAGCATTATTTGACAGTGGCCGTCAGATTTACAAATCACCAACTTATGCAATTAATATAGCTGGCAGTTTAAAGCAGTGTTGTGACATCGCTATTCAAGAAGTTATGAAAAACAAAAACAGATTTTCCAATGAAGAAGTAAAGACTCGCATGACTACTCTAATTCAGCTATTTGAAAGTAATTGGAGATTTGATGTAAGCCATAATGCAGCAAATACGCTTAATATTAACAAATGTAATAAGGTAACCATTGTTCCCTTAGCACAAGATATTAAAGTTTTCAAAAACTTTTTATCGCACAAGGCCAAAGTGTCTGTAGAACAGTTGGTTAAATCAAATGCTGACAAAAAAGCATATACAGATTTGTTATATACAATTTACTGTCGTATAATCCTTCTGAACAGGAGGAGACCAGGAGAGCTACAGCAGATGCCTATTCACGTATATGATGCTTTCAGTGGAGATAACTCTTCGTATGAAAACTTTAACCAGGCCCTTACAAGCATAGAGAAAATTCTCTTAAATCAATTTAAATGTATTGTTGTGAGAGGTAAATATGGCTGTGGCGTCCCGGTGTTTATTAGCCCTGAAGTACAAAATGATATTCAGCTACTTATAAAGTTTAGAAATAAGTGTGTTCCAGAAGGAAACATTTATTTGTTTGGCCTACCAGATTGCTATACCCCTATTGTGTGTTTTAATGTCCTGAAAAAAATGGCAAAAGAAGCCGGCGTATCTAACCCGAAAGCTATTTCATCCGCGAAATTACGAAAACACCTTGCCACATTATCACAGCTTTTCGATTTAAAAGAAGCAGAGATAGAAAAGTTGGCTTCATTTATGGGTCACGCATTAGAAGTTCAGAAAAATTCATACATGCTTCAAGACGACGTTCACCAGACTGCTAAAATGTCAAAACTTCTACTGTTGATGGAAAATGGACAGACCGAAGCGTATAAAGGAAAGAATCTCGAGCAGATAAATATAAATCTTGATGAAATCATTGAAGATGAGAGTGATGATGAAAATGAAATAATGACCAATTTTGAAACTAGATTTCACGAACAAGAACGTTGTTCACATGAGCAAAGAAAAACAGTCCCAGAAAAAACCGCCGCTGGCAAAATGAAAAAAAGAGTTTTAGTTCCATGGACAACGGAACAAAAGCAACTTGTTAAACAATTTTTCAAGAGTCATATAAAAACAAAAACAGCTCCAAAAAAAAGAGAATGCGAAAAATTAATTAGCCTCCATCCCACTATATTTTCGAATAAAAATTGGTTAAAAATGAAAGTATATGTACAAAATGAATACACTAAAAAATAAGTTTGTAAGTGATCCATTTATATAGTTTGTTTTTTACTTTGTTATTTTTTATTTATTTATAAAATACATACAAATATGTTTAAAATACATAATATAATTTTGTTTAATATATGCTTCATAGACAATATAATTCATATCCTTAGGCAGGTATTACCTTGGTTGTTGCTTGTTAGTACAATAAATTTTTTTATAAGAACTTGTACTATTTATTACCAAATTTAAAAAAAGTAAGGAAGAAATAAAATAATAAAAATAAAATACTTTTAACTTTTTTAATGGCATCTAGCACCACAGCCAAGCCTCAAGTATGTAATTGTTGACTAATTTTGGGGCAGGAATCGAGCCGCAACTTATCCGAGAGTCTGCTGTGCTAACCACTCTGGTACATCAGTAAATTGAATACTGAGCCTCTTTGGCACAAAAGTGAATGAATCCAAAATGAAGCTTTCTGCCATCATTTACCTTTAACTAATTAGTTTGAACCAATAGTTTAGTAGGTAGCAGACACCCTTTGGCTTAATTTTTGCCCCATTACTCACACGCCGGAAATTATCACCTTTTTAAATAACTGGACAGAGACTGGGCAGTTTGAATTTTTGGGAGTTCTTTGCAGCAGTCAGTTCTGCGAGTTGGACTTTTGTTTTTGTTATATAATTAAAATCACCCGACGTTCTCGCTGGAGGTCCAACTCGTATATTTTCACTGGAAGAAGGAAGAAAATCTTTATTTGCGGTATAAACTTCTCAGTTAGTAAGGAAATTACAAACTGCTTGAACGTCTGATCACCATTCAGCCCTAGCTCAGAGAAATTCTCTGCTCGGCCTGCAATATGCCTCTTTTTATTTATTTATATTTTTTTTTCAACAATTATTAATATCACACTCAAGTGAAAAAATAGATGATAATTTATTTAATGATTTTTTAAATTGCCCCCATGACAGAGTGCAGCGAGACAGACACTGATAAAGAGCCGGAAGATCAAATAGGCACGGAATGTCCAGTTGATTTAAACTCGTCCAACAAAGGTGAGTAAAAAATTAATTAAACCATTAATTATTTCTTTGATATGTTGATTATTTCTTTACATATATATTTTCCATCTTAAAATTAATGTAAATTTAGAATAGTCAAAGAGAGTGAGAGAGAGTTATGAATGCCTATCACTCTGGTTTCCACAGGGTTTCAATTTGCATTTAATCTGGCCTTTTACCTAACTACATTATAGTGTTTATAGTTTAATTACCAATACTTTCAATTGAATTTATTTTTCATTGAGGAATTTCTTTAAAAAAATTATCTTCTTAAAAAAAACTTTTTTTTTGGTACGTATCTTTAAGTTTGTACATTTTGATTGTGCATGTACATAAAAATTTAAAGCATCAGACTCTGGTTCCTGTATTTTTTTTCTCTTTGGTTTCCTACAGTCCATTCTGTGCTTAAAAAAATAAACGTTCTTAAATTTCTGACAGCGATATTATAGAAACGAATGCAACAGAAAAATCCGATTTCAGTAAGTATGCTACAAAATTATCTCTGCCGTTACAATTTGTGTGTTTTGATTCAGTTATTGGAACTACTACCGTCATTTAACTGTCGTTTGTTAATAGGTACGACAAAACTAGACGGCTTTGACATCTTGGGTACGGAGGAAATCGTAGAGGTAGGAAGTTAATTTTTTTTTCTAAATTCATCAAATCTCAAGATTGACACAAAAATAATCCCATATTAAAGAACGTTGCCTGTGTGAAATAGCTAGAGTGTGAGATTATATGAAAAATATAATGAATTTAACTCAGAAATATGACTTGTGAGTAAATAAAAGTGTGCAAAGTAAAAGAGTGCTAGTGCGAGTACGAATATTTTAATTAGAAAGTGAAAGGTTCGAAGTTAATACGAGTTAGTACAAAAATGTGACTTATTTATTAAGGAGTGTCCAAGAGTAATATGGTGGGAATTAAGGTTAGGGTTAAAAGGAGTCGGTCTCTTAGGTCAGTCGCAAATTGAGCCCAGTCCATGGACAGCACTCGCCCTGTGGGTTCCTCTGTGAAATACAGTTCAAATAATTCAGTAATTAATAAAATAGTAATGATTAATAAAAAAGTTAATTTTTTTAATAATAACAATTTACAATCAAAGCACCCTTGAAATTCCAAAATTCAATCAGTTTAAAGCAACAAACTAGGTGATATTTAGAAAATAAATTTCAAATAATACTGTAATATTTTTTAGTATAAGATTATAAGTATAATATTAATAACAAACTTTTTTTTAATTTGGTATAATTAATAATAATAATAATAAGTTTATTGCACACAAGAAGAAAATAAAAAAATTACATATAATTCAGACAAGAAAATAAACTTAATACAGCAAGGTAACCGTATGACGGATGGTATAATTAATATATACAACCATTTTTGAACAAAATAATTATTACATGGTTAACTTTATGTACAACACTTATTTTCTTTGTTATATTTTTATTTTTGTACTGCACAAGAATTTATACAGTTTATTGTGTGAGGAAAGCAGAATTTCATAGTTTATATCTTCTCCTAAGATGCTACTTCTTTCTTCTTTGTATCTTTTGCATCTCATTATGATGTGCTGAAGATCTTCCACGGAACCACACNTTTGGAACTGGTATGGCTAATGTGAGTCCAGACTCCGATGCTTTTTTTGCTAATTTGTCGGCTACTTTATTACCTTTTATCCCACTTGCGCTTGTATCCACACTATTGAAACTTACAGACCATCCGACTATTTCTTGGATACCCTGTAATTTTGTTTTTTATTTTATTATTTTTTTAAATTATATTTTTTATAGTTTTTTTTTATTCCTGTGCTAGTTATTTTGTCAGTTTCTGTGATTTTTTAATGAGTGTTGTTGCAGTCCTCGAGTTTATATTGGTACTTCATTGCTCTTACTCTCAATTACAAATTTATTTTACGCGATAATTTTTTCAGGTCAGAAAGGGAGAAGAGTGTAATTACTTGCCAGAAATAACAATTTCAGCCGATCGCATGCTGGAATTTGATGGTGTGGTTACTTGTCCAGCGCTCAAAGACAAGGTGGCCAAGCGAGATGGGGTTTCAGAGCCTTTTACAAAATCCAAGGTAAAGTAGATCTGCTAAGCTGTGTTTCTTATGGTTGAACGGTGTTGATTTTTTAGGAAATCGATTCAGGAGATGAGTCAAGCGTCAACGATACAAATTATTCATCAGAAACTGATGATCCAGACGAACAATGTCATAAAGAGTGTGAGGTGAAATTTGTTTGAAAATTTTAACTTTATTTTGGATTATTACATTTTTTTTTCTAGTAGATTTTGTCTAGCGATGAATCTTTCAGTGACCATCTCATTTATCGCTTAAATAAGAAGCTATCGTTGGGGAATGCTGCAGGTGGCTCTGGACTTGTAAATAAGCCGACATTTTCTTCAAGTGAGCAACGGACAAAGCCGATGGACTTTTGTATTTATTGTGAGAGTTTTGTCTCTAATTTTTCTCAGCACATCTTTCAAAACCACAAGTATGAAATCGATGTGCAGGAGATTCTCTCTAAGGCGAAGGAAAGTAAGGCTCGTAGCCGTTTAATGGCAGTGTTGAGAAATAGAGGGAACGTTTTTGTAGATAACATTGAGAAATGTGTGAAACCAATAAAAATACCGTCGAATGACGACGCCAATGAAAACCTGCCTTGTAATGTATGCCTTAAGTTATATTCGAAGAAGGAAATCTGGTGGCATAAAAAGCAGTGCGGGTTGGGTAGTGACGGTTCGCACCGAGCCGACATGCAGAATTCGTGGCTGGCCCACTTCGAGCTAGACGTCCAGCTCAAGGAGACTGTCTTCCCCAGGATGAGGCAGGACGAAATATCTCTCGTGGCACAAAGCGACAAGCTCATCTGCGCATTCGGCACTCGCTTCATGCAGTTCTACCAGGAGAAAAAGTATGCAAACGCTGTGAGCGTGACATCGCAGAAGATGCGCGAGCTTGCCAAACTGTTAATCCAGGTAAGAAGGCAAAACCCTTCGGTCGGCAGTCTTTTATCAGCTCTTCAACCACAACATTATGTGTCCATTGTCGAAGCTGCAAAACACATCACCAGACACGACTTCAAGCAAACTGTTTTAAGACCTGTGACTTTTGCATTGAACCTAACCACCTCTTTAAAACAGTGTTGCGAGCTGGCAATTGCTTTAATCAAGGAAAAGGGAGTAATGCACAACCCATGTATGGCCGAGCAGGAGCTTAATCTAAAAACGATGATGCGACTAATCAGTTCCAACTGGAGGTATGATGTGGCTGATTGTCGACTTGTCGGATCAAATACGATTAAAATGCTTCAGGAAACGGTGGCCAGTGCGATGGCAAAACATACACTCGAACAGAATCTTACCTCGTACCAGATGTGTTCGAAGAAAGTCAAGCGCATCCTCGTCCGTTGGACTAATGAGCAGAAAAAAGTTGTCATCGCTTTTTTCAAACATCACATCAAGAACAGGATAGCACCCAAAAAGATAGAGTGTGAAAGGGTCCGTGAACTCCACCCGGAACTTAACAACAAATCCTGGCGTAAAATTAAAGTTTTCATCCAAAACCAATTCAATAAGAAGTTAAATTTAAGTTAAACCCTTGTAATATAAACACAAAATTTTTTGTTTATTTATTATTGTAAAAAAAAGAAAAGAAATTAAATATTGTTATTTTTTCACAGTGTTTTGTATCTGACCACCAATAATTATGATAACTGCTGCACATTCGGTAAAAAAAACATATACTGAATTTTTACAAAACTTAAGTTTTAATGGTACATTTACTATGCTGTTGGCCGTGTGTGTGTCTCGTAGAAATGATGTGTTAAATTTATGATTTTGACGAGTCAGTTTGGAGGTTGGGATATTTTCTACCATAGCAGATTGAAATTTATTTACGGAGGCCAGAGTGATAGCAGAACCATTACTCTCTTACTACCTCTCTCAGTTTTCCTTCTTTTAAACTTTAATATGCTCAATTTTTCATTCTCTCCTATTTTTTTTACATACTTTTTCATTCTATCTGACCCTCATTGTACTCTCTTTAAGTCACAGCTTCTCATCATTTAGCAATCTTTTTTTCCCTTCGTCGTAATATTAAAATAGTTATGAAAATTTTAGATGATTCACAAGTCGGTAGTAAATGCCAAAGTTTCGACGAGCACAATTATTTCAAAACTTGTAAGTATTTTTTTAAATGTATTTTGTTATTAAGCCTTCTTTTTATTAAGGATTTGTAATTGTTTTGCTTTTGTCACCTCGAAGGGCAAAACAAAGGAACGAAGATGAAGTTCTGCTCCACGTGCAACTCAATTCTTCGTCACAATAAATGCTACAAATGGTTCAAACATTTGTCTTGCAGTCAGTTCTCCTTCGAGTGTTCTAACTGTACACTGCGAACAGATTCTGCGGACTTTTTAGTCACGCATATGATAGTCCATCACGGCTTAGAAGTTTTCAATATGGTAGAATGAGAATTTTTTTTTTAATGGATTTTTTCTTAAACCGTTTTGTCTTTTAGCGTGTTGTCACGAAAATGAAGAACGGCAAAAAGTATGTGCACAGAGGGATAAACGAGGTCGTAGAAGGCGCCGATCCGAAGTTCGCCGTCAAGAAACACAACGTCAATTTAGCCTTCTTAATGGACAAGCTCAGATACGGTGCAACAATCAGCCGAGAATGTACAGGAGACCGGAACATTGCGGGGCATCTGTACCACTTGAAAAACATGCTCTTTGTGTCAGTACTTAGCATAATTACGAGATAAATTTAAAATGGACTTTTTTTTTAATTTAAATTTTTTTGTAGGTTGTCTGAATATTCGATAAGGAGGATTGCTTTTGAGTACATATCCAGATATCATCCATTCGAGATTGTGAAATGTGTCGATTCCGTGCGTATGGTTGATATAGTGTGGTATAGGAATTTCATTCGCAAGTATCCAGCGGTCTTGGAGGGCAATGCGCCAATGTTCAGCTCCTTGAAGCACGAGACGGATGTGTTTTTTGACAGGTTTATCGAACTCTGCCGCAAGCTTTCCCTGAGCCGCAACTCGGTTTATACAGTCGACTTCACGACAGTCTTTGTGTCCGATGAATTGCCGACTGTTAGTACCGGCCGTCAAAGAAGCGTACAGACAAACGTAGAGAAGGTGAGCCTTCTCTGCGGAGTGAGAGGAGACGGGGCTTTCACGACAACACTCATCACCTCTTCTTTCCCCCTGTCTTCCGATTCGTCTGAAGTCGTTATCGACAGCGGACCCACTGACGGGAAAATCGATTCGGGCTCGTTTGCCATGTTCATCCATTCTTTCTTAAGGAAGGTCAAACCGATGGAAAGGGTGCTCCTTTTAGTCGACGGGAGCAAATATTACACTCAGTCGTTTGAAATTTATGAAAATCTCATGGCAAAAGGCGTCACCATCCTCTCCATCCCCGGCAACCTCCTCAGTCTTAATCCCTTAAGGAATTGTATATTTCCGGCAATTGTGTCGAGGATGCAGGCTGTGATAAATAAACGAATCAAGAAATTCGGGAAAGCGAACGTTTCTGATTTTGTTAGCGTGTTCGAAGAGGCATGCAAAACTAACGGACAAGAGAAGGATCTTTCGTCATTGGTGGTCCAAGCGTATGCGGCATTTGGCATCATACCGTTTAACAAGCAGGGCACTTTGAACAAGCTAATGTCAAAACGATCCAAATCGGATAGAGGCTATCTCCTCAATTTTCGCCCCATCAAGGAGAAAATATCAGATTTGGTATTGAACTGCATTGTCCCAATAAACTCCCCACCTGAAGGATTAAAACGGAAAAGGACAAATACTAGAAGGTTTAACATTTTGAAACGCCAATCGAAAGTCGTGAAGAAAAGTTTACAGAAAAAATTAGAGAATCCTGTAGGCAAAGGAGTGAGACGGGACGTACAAAAAGATGCTCGGACGGACAGGCGAAAAAATAATAAATCGGCACCTGTCAGTAAACAGACAAACACGACCGTTATTGATGAACCCTGCCAGGAAGACCTCTTAGAGGACGCTCCCAAAGTCAAAGAGGAAATCAGTGATGATGTCGTCGGTGAATTGATGGACATAATTGTAAAAGAAGATTCAAAGCAGCCGAAGGCCGGTCGACGGTCGGTAGACCCGAGGAAAGGCAAGAAGAAATGCCTCATCTGCAAGAAGATGCACGCGACCGAGTCCAAAATGTTTGTGTGCGATTCGTGCAGAGTCTGAACTTGAAAGAATGGAGAAAACTAAACCGTGGTGGAATTAAAAAGTGAGTCTAAAAACATTAAGATTGACAGTATGAATTAAAAATTTATTACTGTAATTAAAAGATGTGAGTGAAAAAAGAAATTTAAAATAAAATAGTTCAAGAACTCCTGTCAGTTAAAGAGGAAAAAACATTTGTCAATTGAGTTTGAGGGAGAGAGAGGACAACTATTAAAAGAGGAATTTGAGCAAAAGTTAAAGAGTAAGAAAGAAAATTGGACTAAGAAAAGCTAAACTGTTAAAGAGACTAAAGAAGGCAGATTTGAGAGAACCGCTAAATTTTTGTTTTACCATTTTCATTTTATAAAAAGTACAGTTTTTTAATTTTCACGAAAAAAGTGGGCATACAGCAAATGTAAATTATTTTTGTTTATATTGTTTTATTTGTAAATAATTATAATATTGTATTGTAAATTGTAAATGTTTTATATGTAAACTGTACATAAACATAAGGTAGACTTTCACAAATATACAGTTTTTTTGTATTATGTAAAAATGTACAATGTTTTAATCTTTTAACCACCCACGATATCACTGCTGTGATTCCAACCTAATTGGCGGATAGGTAAGGTTTTTATTTATCATTATTATTTGAAAAGAACACATAGAATTTACAAAATAGAACACTTTTTTATATATATAATATGTAATATATATATTTTTTTCCAGAATAAAGCATTTTTTTAAAATTAATGTACACTAGTTCACAGCCTTGGAGATTTTCATGATGTAAAACCGCCGTAATTTTGTTTGGTACGAGGAAAATATTCACAAATTTTTAGTCATAAAGTTCATTCGGGGCCCTCTTTTGGGACCGGGGTCGTTGTCACTTGACTTTGTTCAATGGGAGGACGACGCCTTGCTCTGTGACAGATGTGTCGAGGCTGTTTCTAAAAATGAAAGTATATTTTTATTTATACATATATAAAATATTAAATTGTTTATGTTAAATACCTCATAGAACGTCGAGTCATTGAGTAGAGTTCAACACTTCCACGGCCGGTGTAGTGGTTGAGACCAGTGGACAGCGTCCTCCTGTGGTCCTGCGACAGTGACAGTTTGCAGGAACGCCTGAACGAAAGGAAGCCGTGCCTCGCCGGTGTGAGGAAAGGCGCAGTCGACAGCGTATACAGGATTGGGTTCACTGCGGCATTCAACGGCAGGATGAAGACAGCAACCCAAGCGAACACCTGGCACAAAGTCGTAATTTTCTTTTCCAATATACTTGACTTTTGAAATTTACCTGAGTCGGTACGGTGAATCCCGCCAGGGAGACGACTCCTAATATTATAATCGGAACCTGGAAAAATTTAAAATTGTTTAAATTATTGAACGTTTTATTACAATTTTTTTTTTATACCCAACAAGCAGCATCTGTCGCTACGAGGAGGGTCATGCGCCACGCCATGGCAGACTCAGAGGTGCAATAGGCCGTCCTTTCTTTGTGCACCGCGTGCTGAGTTGTCCTTGCGACCAAGAACATCCACAAATAGCCAACAGCTATCACAGTAAACGACACCAAGTTTAAAACTAAACAAACGAAGCAAAATATGAAACAAACACATACAAAAAAAAAAAAAACAAAAAAAAACAAAACAACAACACTCACATAGAAAGACAAAAACAGAGTATTCCCAACCGTNCGAAGCAAAATATGAAACAAACACATACAAAAAAAAAAAAAACAAAAAAAAACAAAACAACAAAACAACAACACTCACATAGAAAGACAAAAACAGAGTATTCCCAACCGTTGGGCTTATCCGGCGTAATATGCAAGGCCAGGCAAACGCCAGACCTGCCATAGAAATTTCTAAACAAACAAACAAATAAATTAAAAAAAAAAATTCCCCCCTTTAACATCTAAAATAAAACTTTACTTGAAATAATCGATGTGCAATAAAGGTATTGCTGATAAGCAGGCTGCTATGACCCAACCGAATGCCATCAGCATACGTGTCCTCTTCATCTCAAGGCGCCTCACCCTAAATGGGAATATAATTACGAGAAACCGATCCAGGGTGATGACTAAAAAAGAAAACAAAACAATCAATGATGACATTTGAACTGGTCAGAGCAAAGACAGTGAGGTAGAAGACTTGAAACAGGTAAGGGCAAGAGCTAGAGAAGAAGCTACATTATAAAGGGTGTGAAGGTGTTAAATAGTAAGAAAGACTGAAAGTTAAATAATGACCACGAGGGTTAAAAAGGTGAAAGCCTTATAAGAACTGCTTTAAAGAGTGAGAAAGTACAAGGAATCGAGGCAAGATAGCCCAGAACGTAAAAAAAGTGAAATACTGAGAGTTAAGCTAAAGCTTAAGAATGGTTGAGTGTTAAAGAGCGTTAAGCATAAAAGAAGAAATAGTGAGACTTAAATTTAAAAAAAGCCGAGAGTTAAAATTTGCATTTAAAGAGTATGAAAGGCTGATTGTTAAAGAGTAAGAAGGGTTGATAATTGCAGAGTAAGACTGATAGTTAAGGTGTAAGATGGACCTTTAAAGAGTAAGCAAGGCTCTTAATGAATGAGTAATTTTGCACGTTAATGTATAACATAGGCTGGTTGTTAAAGATTTTGGCTGATAGTTAAAGAGTGATTTTACAAGTTAAAGATTAAAGGAGGCTGACAGTTAACCAGCAAGCAAGACTGATGGTAAAAGAGTAAGAAGGCTGTTAAAGAGAATAATTACTGCGAGGTCTATGAGTGAGTTTGGATGTTAGAGAGCGAGTAAGGCTGATAGTTAAAGAGTGATTTTATGTGATAAAGAGTAAGAAAAGCCCATAGTTGAAGAGTAACAAAGGTGATGATTATGTGAGTTTGATAGTTAAAGGATAAAAAAGACTGATAGTAAAGGAGTGATTTTTTGATAATTGAAAAATAAGGCTGATAATTAAAGAATAATGAAGGCTAATATTTAATGAATAGGAAAGTCTGATAGCCAAAGAATAAAATAAAAGGCTGATAGTTTAAGAGTAGGTGTGCGTGTAAAAAAAGGAAGTAAGATATGCTGATAGTTAAAGAGTTAGTTTGCGCATTAAAGAATAAGTAAGGATATTAGTTAAAGAGTACGAAAAGCTGATAGTTAAAGAGTAAATTTACATGTTGAATAGAAGCCAAGGCTGATAGTTAAAGAACGAATAAAAGTTGTTACGTAAATAATGATTTTGTGTGTTAAAGAGAAGAATTACTACCAGTTTGAAGAGTCAGTTTGCGTGTTAAAGAGTAAGTAAGGTTGATAGCTAAATATGAAAAGTTGATAGTAAAATAGTGAGTTTGCGTGTTAAAAAGTAAGGTAGGCTGATAGTTAAACAGTTAGTTTGCGCATTAAAGAGTAAGTGAGGATGATAGTGAAAGAGTACGAAAAGCTGATAGTTAAAGAGTGAATTTACACGTTGAATAGAAGTAAGGCTGATAGTTAAAAAAAAAAACAAGTAAAAGCTGTTATTTAAATGACGATTTTGAGGTTGATAGTTAAAGAGTGGGTTTGCGTGTTAAAAAGTATGGTAGGCTGATAGTTGAAGAGTGAGCTTGCGTGTTAAAAGTAAGGTAGGCTGATAGTTAAACAGTTTGCGCATTAAAGAGTAAGTGAGGATGATAGTAAAAGAGTACGAAAGGCTGATAGTTAAAGAGTGAATTTACACGTTGAATAGAAGTAAGGCTGATAGTTAAAAAAACAAGAAAAAGCTGTTAGTTAAATGACGATTTTGAGGCTGATAGTTGAAGAGTGAGTTTGCGAGTTAAAGAACAAGTAAGGATGATAGTTAAAGAGTAAGTAAGGTTAATAGTTAAAGTGTACGGAAAGCTGATAATTAAAGCGTGAATAAGGCTGATAGTTGAAGAGTGAGTTTGCGAGTTAAAGAACAAGTAAGGATGGTAGTTAAAGAGTGTGAAAGGGGAAATTGTAACTGACTTGAAATTAGACGAACCGGTCAGCGTGAAGACGGAGAGCTCGCTGGAAAAGGTGGATATGAACCCGGCAAAAGAGCAAAGGGGCGAAGACCTCCAAGTCGAATCGTGTATGATGTAAACACCCCTGTAATGCCAATCGACGAGGGCTATGAGCAAAAGGTACGACCCCATCAAAAGGTCGCCCAGGGCCAGATTCGTTATGAGGAACGAATGTACCTGAAATGACAAAAAGCTTTCGATTTAAACTATAAAATGTACAATATAATTAGAACAAACAATAGTAATACTAAAAAAAAGCGCTAATCTCTTGAGCGAGGAAGGCAAAAGATAATTTCATGAGAATATACAACTAATAGGTTAATGGGTTATATTTTTTAATATTAATATGAAAGAACAATTGAAAAGATTTACACCTGGACCTAACTAAGGTGACCTGCAGACGCATCGCTACAATTAAACTATTTTCAATAAATCTACAATCTACAGATAAAAAAAAATATATATACCAAAGCTGCTAAATCACAAAATACTAAAGTCCATGGACAAGTCATGATCACAATTGTGAGCTAAACGAATTGGATTTATAATTTATCAATTAAATTTTATTACCAATTTGTGTTCATGATATTTAAGATACTTATTTCTTATTTACTTTGAATCGTGAATGGAATGCAAAAAAATCTTTAGTACGGGCACGCTTATGTTTAGCCGCTAGTATTCTTTCAAATAAGTCCAATAGTGTCATAGCTTTTGTATCGTGCAAGGGGACTTAATCTATCAAGCAACGTCTTTTTTTTTTACTTTCTACAGAGATCTAGTCCTTTACAAAATGGTCACCTTAGGCAGTGTTTTATTTTTGCTTTCATGCTATGATTTCGATAAAATATAAAAACATAAAGAGCCTTTGTTAACGTTCAAAACCGGAAATGGAAGAATCAAAACTAATCGAAAAAAAGGGAAATTAGCATAAAATTAAAATAATTTAATTAAAGGTCTGTTTTTTGTGTGATTAATGAAAATGGGAATGGGATAAAAGTAAAGTAAAATAAGTGAAATAGACATGCTTTCTTTTTGATCCCAAAGATTTTTTCTTTTACATTTGGGTCGGAGACTCCCGTTTGAGGCTTTCTAACTGGAAACGAATCGAATAGCTTCTTCTCAATGAACGGTTTTCTGCCCCTGGTTGGCCATTTGAATTTGGCATTCTGAAAAGCAACATTCGGTCCGTTAAAAAAAAAAAAAAAAACGAGATGAAGACAAAAATGGAGGGTGGCAAAAGGGGTCAAATTCAATTCTGGCCAACCGCGGAACCAAAGGGTGCTCGTTTGTCGTATGTCTGGTTCGTTTGGGGAAAAAAGCTACGTACCTGGTTGCAGTGTTTGTACCGGGCACGGCATGCGATGACGAGGAGGTTGCCGACCGTGGCGACGACAGCCAGGGCCCAGACGCAGACCCGGAGGACCATGTTGCTCATGAGGTCTTCGCAGGAGGAGAACTCGTCCTGGGGAGGCGAGCAGGAGGGCACCTCGCGGGCCAAGCAGCAGAAGCGAAACTCGTCCGTTTCACTGATTCACACGGACAAATCTTCAATCTTCAATCTTTAAAAATTAAACAAATAACTTACAGCTTTTCCAATGTGGTCACTGCTCTAAACACATTCGGGTCTATCACTTTGATCCTGTTGCTGCTTATGTTTCTGCAACATCATCGAAAAGACTTTCAATTCGAATCAGAAATCGTACAAAAACACACTGAAAATATTTAAAAATAATATCTTCTACAAAGACCAATCAGGTTTTTGATAAGAAGTTAAAGAGTGAGCGTTAAAAGATGACAAAGTTTAAGAGTGAGCAATAGTAAAAGAGCCAGTACCAGAGAAAGTAAGAGTAGATAAAAGAGAGACAGTGTACGTTCAAAATTGTGGTGTCAAATAGTGAGAAGGGCTGGAAGGTAAAAGAGGTAAATACAGAATGGTAAAGAGTGCTTTGCCCATGATAAAATAAGACATGCCGATAGTTAAAAAAGAAAGACTGTGACTATGTGATTGAGCTGTTAAATGTAAGAATGAGAGAGTAAGATCAGCTTATTAAAGAGTGATTTTGTGTGTTAAAGAATAAGAAAGCTGTGAGTTTAAGTGTAAGTTTGCTAAAAAGTAAGACTCGCTGAGAGTTATATGTTGATCGTTAAAGAATAAGATAGGCTGATAGTGAATGAGTGATTTGGCATGTTAAAGAGGACGAAAGGGTGATAATTAAAGAATAATCAGTGCTCATACTTAGAGAATAAGAAAGTCTGACAGTTAAAGAATAAGCAAGGCTGTTCGTGAATGAGTGATTTGGAGTGATAAAGAGGAAAAAAGGCGGAAGTTAAAGAATGAATTTGTGTGTTACAATGTAAGAAAGGTTGATTGTTAAAGAGTAAGGAAAACTGATAGTTAAATAAAAAATTAAAAAAAAAAAAAGGTTCAAAGGTTTTAATGATTGAATGTGAATTAATATTTGAGGTGTTAAATAGAAAGAAAGACAGAGGAAGAAAGGCTGATAGTTAAAGAGTGATTTTTGATAGCTAAAAAATAAGCAAGTTTATTAGTGATTTTGCGTCTTAAAGAGTAAGAAAGGGTGATAATGAAAGAATAATCAGTGCTCATACTTGGAGAATAAGAAAGTCTGATAGTTAAAGAATAAGCAAGGCTGTTCGTGAATGAGTGATTTTGCGTGATAAAGAGTCCATCAGTTAAAGAATGAATTTGTGTGGTACAATGCAAGAAAGGTTGATAAAGAGTAAGAAAAAACTGATAGTTAAAGAGTAAGAAAAACTGATAGTTAAAGAGTAAGAAAAACTGATAGTTAAAAAAAAAGTTTCAAAGGTTTTAATGAGTGATGATAGTTAAAAATAAGAAAGTAAATGAGTGATTTTGCGCCTTAAAAAGTACGAAAGGGTGATAATTAAAGAATAATCAGTGCTCATACTTAGAGAATAAGAAAGTCTGACAGTTAAAGAATAAGCAAGGCTGTTCGTGAATGAGTGATTTTGCGTGATAAAGAGTCCAAAAGGCCATCAGTTAAACAGTAATTTTGAGTGTTACAGAATAAGAAAAGTTGATAGTTAAAAAAGTAAGTAAAGGTTGACAGTTAAAGAGTGATTTTGTGTGTTACAGAGTATGAAAGGTTGACAGTTAAAGAATAAGAAAAATCTGATGTATGAATTAAAGATTAAGCTCTTCAATAGGAAAAATGACTGAGAGTAAGAAAGACTGATTTTCGATAGATAAAGAAAAAACGGCTGATAGTGAAAGTGCGATTTGTCGATAGTAAAAAAATAAGCAATGAATGAGTGATTTTGCGTGTTTAGAGGAAGGAAAACTGGAAATTAAGGAATAATCAAGCCCATATGTAAAGAATAAAAAAGTCTGACAGTTAAAGAATAACCAAGGCTAATATTTAAAGAGTAGATTTGCGTGATAAAGAATAAGAAAGGTTGACAGTTGAAGAGTGGTCTTGCGTGTTATATAGTGAGAAAGGCTGACAGTTAAAAAATTATGTTAAAAATTTTATGTGTTCAGAGTAAGAAAGGTTGATAGATAAAGAGTAAGAAAGGTTATCTTTGTGTGAGTTACTGATGGAGCTGTTAAATAGGAAAAGAACTATTCATAAAAGGAATATTTATAGTAATTTTGCGTGTTTAAGTCGAAGTACGGATATTAAATGTTAAAAGCGAGTAGAATACTGGAAAAACAACTGGGCCGGTCGTAGTGTCTTTACTTAGTAGAGATTATTCATCTTATTATTATTATTATTATTGTATAAATAGAAAGAATATGGAAGTTTGATCGTAAATGATCCACTCTTGTCTTTTGATGGTCGCCACTCTGAATCTGCATTTCTCCTCGCGGCCCATGCAATTTTACTCAAAAGATCATCAGCTCGGCAGGCTTATATGATTGATTATGATCAACCAACCATTCAATTTTGAAATAAACATGATTGTAATGAATAAGTTTTGCTTAGACCGAGAACAGGCGGACCCACACATAATGGACAGTGTACAAAAATTCTTTGGACCTTCTGCCACTTTTATTAACTAATCGAGTTGAAAAATACGTACTAACAGGTACAAAAGTCGAGGTAGTCCGTTGAGTGTGCCGTCGAGGAGGTGCTCTATTTCATTCTGCGACAGGTCGCTGGACAGATAAGATACAATCTAGGAATAAATCTGTGTTTTAAGTCAATAAATCAATAGTCAATAACTTACATGCTCACGACTTTTCGTAGGCCGACGAAAGCGTGCGGTTCGATGTTTCTGATGCTCAGATTCCTCAGAACGCTTTAACAAGAAACGATTTTGCTTGAATGGACTTTGACTCAAATACCTGGGACTTACAGATTTGGCAGGGAGGAGAGGCCGAAGAATGCGAGGGCGTGTATCTTCCTGATCCTATTCCCCTGGAGGTGCCTGGACAAAGGTAAAATTTCAATTTTTGTCGGACTTAAAAACGTTTGGATTGAGACAGTCGGACTTACAGCCCGTTGACGTTGGGCAGACCGTAAAAGGTGCCGTTCTCGAGGACTTGGATGTCGTTGTCTTGTAGGTTAAGGACCGTCAGTCGCCATAGGGTGCTGAACATCATCGGCGTCAAGTGTGTGATGCTGTTATTGCTCAAATCCCTTTTTGTTATAAAATAAAAAATAAAGTAAACCATTTACATATTTACTTAATTTAAAAAAAGTCTTTACTTACAGATAGACGAGACGTCCAAGGCGTGCGAAGGTCCCGTTGTGTAGGCTCGAATTGAGCCTGTTCCCTCCGAAATGGCTAGAAAATAATGAATTTTAATAACAGAACATAACAAATACAATAAAAACACTCACAATCGCGTGATTTCTTTTTCGGTTTCTGGGATCTCACCGAGTCCGAAGCCGGTGCAGTTGATGTGCACGTCTTTGCAAGGGCAGTTGGAATTGGAACAGTGGAAGGCTTGAAAATTGTGTCGAATATTTGATTAAAAGGATCAAAAGAGAGATTATTTCGGAAATTTGGCTTACTGCAGTTGGACTCGTCTTCCCAGGAATCCTTGCAGTCGATGACTTTGTTGCATAGGAGCGATTCGTTGAGGCAAGGGCCGTTTTTGCACTTGAACTGCCCCGGGGTGCAGGTCACGTTTTCTGTCGAAAGAACATTTTAAACGCTCAGTTAATTTCACGATAAACGCCTCCCTAAATCCTTTAATCCTGGATAGGAAAACTTGAGAGCCACTCTGGCTAATTAGTTGAGTAAGCCTCACTTTCGAGACACGAGCTTGTCCTGCTAGAGACTTCTAAATTGTTTTTATCCTTTAATCCTTGGTTTTAATTAAAGGGGAGAAGAAATTACAAGTAATGATCATCTTTTATAATCAGATTTGCTCAATGTTTACATTAGGACTACTACAAAATTTAAGGAAAATTCTTAAATAGTCCCTTTTTTCAAAAAGACGTACTAATGCCGAGTTGAACAAGCTTATGTTTGTTGGGGTTTTAGGTGACATTTTAGGATTTTTCTACGAAATAAATGCCCCATCTGCATAATGCGATAGAAAGTATTCTACAATACGTTCTCAAGAACTCACCGCATTTGATGAGATGTGACAGATCGGCGCATCCTTCCCTCGGGTTGCCCGAGTTGAAGCACCTCTGCTTCTTGTCGACGCACTGGCCGTTCTGGCACCTGAACTCATCCGGGCCACAGTCGACGAAAGCTGGAAAATATGATATTCTCAATTTTACATCATCATCTACAACAATAAAAAAACATCGCGATCGATATCCGACCGCCAAGGCCGAAATTGGCTGTAATTGGCTTTTGTGTTCGGGCTCAAATCTACCTTAGCTTCGTTTCCATCACAATCTACTCTGGCCTAAACACTAAGAGAAATAAGTTCAAACAGAAAACCCACACATATGTGTCCATCGTGTAGAGAAGGTTGCTCGATGTTCCACTTAATTGAAGGATGCCATTCCTTGGCTCCATATAGGGAGCATGTACGATTCCACCCGATATGAGAATCGTGCTTGAGCAGGGCAGCGGTTATTTGGGTCCCCTGTTCCGATTCTCAGAGGAAAAAGTATTTTTTTTTTTTTTTACTGTACATTGTACTGATACTCTGTCTCCTAAGTGAGTGAATGTATTTATTGGCGTAGTGTGAGAGCGCCGATGGCAGAAAATTGAGTCGCCCTTTAGGTTAGTTTACAATAAGTGTCTAGGGTGATGGAAAATCCCGTACTCCACCAACTTAACTGAGCGAATGGTGTGTAAATAGGAAAGAATGTATTTAAGATTGAGTGAGAGAAGAATGGGAGATTGATTACGTTGGGACTGAAATGACCCTTGCAGCCCAAAATCGCCCCAGTCTCTGGACGGATAAGACCGAGGTCGTACCCCGGACTGCCAACACCCGAGGTGGGTAAATCTCGAGTCCTTACGGTTTTTTTTTTTTTCGTCCTTCACAAAATTTGGTAATTCCTGTGGACTGCGGGAAGTGACAGTCTAAACTCTATACACGTGCGTATTGTGCGCATTGCAGATTTGAGTTTATATATAATCAAAACCTAAATTAAAAGAAAGTACTAAAAAAGTAAAAAATTCGCCCTTAGGGTCCATTTTCATGCTCCAACAGGTGTCAAATACGTATTTTTCAACCTGGTGCCACCAAAAAAAAGTTTCATTCGAATTGATGTTCCTTGTAAAACTCCCCTTGTTCGCCCAACACTTCAATTTTCTTCTATTGGCTCATCCCTTCATTACTCCTCCCACATCAAACGTATTGAAATGGTGCCTTTTTTAGATACAGTAACTGTTTCTTGAATTCTGATGTATCAAATATAGCTACCATTGAGCTTAGGATTGAGTTTTTTTCTCCGGTAGCTTTTAATATCCAACTAATCTCTATAAAATTTAAATCATCACAATAATCATATTTTAAGTCTTTAATAATAATAAAGTGGGAAGTTTATAAGGCCGACAAAACGCTAAGGTCATCGCCGGCCCTCTGCGTGTTTTCCTTCTTTTGCTCTTCTTCCGCGCGTATTTTGTTTAAAACTGCAGCTATTTGAGCGTCTCGATCTGGTCACTGACTCTCTGATTTCAAATATATACTAAGTTGATATCCTAGAATGCTAGACTCTCGTTTATACCTCAGGTTGTCAAATAGAGAATAGAAACAACAAACATACATGTCTGGTCACATTCACTCCCCCAGAGTACTCGATATTCCTCGGGGCGGGGTCGAACTCACTCCATTCTCGCTAATAAATTACTTGTACTCTCCTGACGTCGTTCAATCACCCCAGAGTACTCGATATTCCTCGGGACGGGGTCGAACTCACTCCATTCTTGCTAATAAATTACTTTTACTCTCCTGACGTCGCTCAATCACCCCAGAGTACTCGATATACCTCGGGGCGGGGTTAAATCACCCTTACTTTCATGCTAATAAATTACATTCATTCCAATAAATTAACAAACGTCAACACAGACACAACACAAACACACATAAAAAAAGTATAAACATTTAAAAATCCATATAGCCCTGAGGTACCGGAATAGCGATCCGTTATTCCCTTTCCGGAAGAAGGTGCCCGTGCGTTATTCTTGTATGACCTATGCGTAGTCTTATGGCCTTTCCCTTTTTCGAACCAGGGACCGATATCTTTTAAGACTTTATTTACTTGTTTATAATAAATGATAAATGGTACTAGATGACATAGGTACACATTTTTCACTTAAATTTATTTGGATTTTACTTATAACATCTTATAAGTATGTCCAGTTGCCTACTAATTAAACCAGGTAATGAAATATGATTAAAATTACAATGATTCGACCATTTTGGATATCAGAATAGTTTCTTCAATATCAGCTCATAAGTTACCATAAAAGGATATCTGTTGTATGATAATTTCATACATTTATATATATACTTTATGTGTAACTTAAGCAAATAGAAATATTGGATATACCTTGGTCTCTAAGCACAAAATATAATTTGGCGTGTTGGGGGATTTCAAATTTTCTTTATAAAAAAAACCCAAAGTACTTTAATTCTTTCATTTTTTTTACATTTTGAAATCCCATACTTGGGAATTCTAACTTACAATATGTAGCTTGGAGTTTTTGAAAAGCTTTGACCTAGATAACCGCTCGCTGGAATGTTCTAATGACATGGATGAAGAAAGGGTCACACCCATGTATTTATAACTTTTTAATGGCCTCAATAGATTTTGTTTCAAAGGTCCAAAGTATAACTAATTTATTGTTTTTCAAATTTAATAAAAGATTCACCGAGTACACTAGTCTTTAAGTGCACTAATAATTAATTAATTAATTGAAGAGACAAACGAGCAGGAGGCAAAAGAACGAATGAAAGACTAGTGGATTAATTTTTAAATTATTGATCTTAATTCCCCCGTCCACATACTGCTTAATTTCATTTATAAACAATGAAAACAACAGTGGGCTCGACAAGCAACCCTGTTTTACACCCATTTTGATTTGAAAATGTAATGATAGCTGGTTAAGATACCAGACAGAACTAGTTGTACCTGTATATAAGCTTTTTTAATACCACTGTTTTAACGATTGCGTTATCTCACCTGAGGAAGGATTAAAATAAATCCGAAACGTGTGGATAAAAACTGGTTGTGGTTTTTTGAGATGACCTATTATCCCACCTCAACGAAGGAAAAATCATAATGTTTTTTAGTATGTTTATAATTTTTGTTGGTATTCCACACTGACAAGAGTACGACCAAGTTGGTGCGTCTTAAAAAAAAAAACAAAAATTGAAAGTTGAAATTTCCGTTTTTTTATATTTTTATTTGATCGTTCTACTTGCTCCAATCAACTATGTGAATATACATCATATTACAGATTTTTGAGATAAATTGCAATAAAAATTTAGTAAAAGCCATCAAAGTTAATCAATAACCAAAAAAATTCTAAAAACCAAATATTTTTCAAGTAAACTAGGTCTTAAATTTTTTTCCGTAAAACTAATATTAAATTTCGTTTTAGCACCTCTGAGATCCCTAAAAATAAATTTTTGTTTGAATTTAAATTTATCGATTTTTTGACCCATAAAATTTTTCCGATAGGAAGTCGTTATCGGAATATCTGATTTAAACGGCTATAATTCAAAAACGGCTAAAAGGATTTTAACCTCAAACATACCATTCGAAAGAAGAGAAACGCAGCTTTTTAACGACATATGCACCATAAAAATATATAAAAGATTTCTATAAGGAAATACACAAGATAGGAAAATTATTTGTCAGAAATTAATCTCGTTTTATCAAATGAAAATAATAGCCCGATTTTAATGTTTGATACGGTTATAAAATGTTCTTGACTATTTCTTTATAACGAATTATTAACAATGAAAATCGGTCCACTAGTTTTTGAGGAAAATGATGTTCGAGCATGCACTAGGAACGTCGATCACGCAAAAGCTGAAATTATCAGCCAAAAAATTAATTTACACTGATTTTCGCGAAAATCGTTATCTAAGGGTTTTAGAACGCTAGAATCTCGGAAATGAGGTCAAATCCAAGTTTTGATCATTTGCTGACCTACTTTGCTTACAGAATGTTTAAATTTGCAAAAAAAAGCAGTATTTTGTTGATTTATCTTTTGATTGGAATATTCTCCGTCGTAGAACATTTTTGTTTTTATGCTAACCAAAAATGAAATTATTACACCAAAAATCATATTTTTTGAATCATAAATAACGATTTAAATAATATAAATATACGTAAATATTTAAAATAAATAAACGAAGAAAAGAAGTTATTGCTTGGATTTCGGGCCAAATTTTAATTTGAAAAAACCACATTGTATTTAGAGGTCTGTAGAGGTAAAATTTCATGCAAATTTTACGAAAAAAATTTTTTTTGCGACCTAATTTGCTTGAAAAATATTTGATTTTTAGAAATTTTTTGGTTATTGATTAACTTTGATAACTTTTACTGCATTTTTATTGCAATTTATCTCAAAAATCTGTAATATGATGTATATTAATATAGTTGATTGGAGCAAGTGGAACGGCGAAATAAAAATATTAAAAAACGAAAATTTCAACTTTCAATTTTTTTAAAGTCTTGGTCACTCCCTTGTCAATGTGGAATATCAATAACAAATATAAATATATTAAAAAGCTTATATCTGGTACAACTAGTTCTGTCTGGTATCTTAACCAGCTATCATTACATTTTCAGAGCGCAATGGGTGTAAAACAGGGTTGCTTGTCGAGCCCATTGTTGTTTTCATTGTTTATAAATGAAATTAAGCAGTTTGTGGAAGGAGGAATTAAGATCAATAAATTAAAAATTAATCAGCTAGCCTTTGCAGATGACATTGTTCTTTTGCCTCCTGCTCGTTTGTCTCTTCAATTAATTAATTAATTATTAGTGCACTTCAAGACTAGTGTACTCAATGAGCTACATTTAGCTACATCTATCTTTTTTATTTTTATTTAAATTTATCTCAAAAATGCTGCCAAATGATATATTCACACAGTTGATTTGTGCAAGTAGAACGGCGAAATGAAAATATTAAAAAACTGAAAATTTCTACTTTCAAAAAAATTTTTTTGGGGCGAAACCAGGGTTATTCACAAGAAGTGGTGGATTGGTGTTTTATATTTTTGATTAAACAAAAAAAGTTTGATCCAAATCCGTGACACACCAACTCGGTCGTCCCATT